TGAGGTGATCGAATTCATAATACGTCCACATTAATGAGATATAATAGGGTGAGAATTCATTTCCGCGGGAAACGAATGCAAATGGCAAAAAATGAGACCTTAAAACATTCAACAAAACGTGTTGTCAAATTTTTGGCCCTGAAAAGGGCCGGTTTAAACGACGTAGAGAAAAATACAAATGAATCAATTTTAATTTAAGGTTTCTTTTCCGTTTTCTTGGGCAAAAGAACAGCTTGAATGTTTGGTAAAACACCACCCTGAGCGATGGTCACTCCAGACAACAATTTATTCAACTCTTCGTCGTTCCTGATGGCCAATTGCAAATGTCTGGGAATGATACGAGTTTTCTTGTTGTCACGAGCTGCGTTTCCAGCCAACTCGAGAACTTCAGCAGCCAGATATTCCATTACTGCGGCCAGATAAACAGGAGCTCCCGCTCCGACTCTTTCGGCATAATTTCCCTTCCTTAACAAACGATGAATTCTTCCCACCGGAAATTGAAGTCCTGCCCGATTGGAACGAGACTTTGCCTTTCCCTTAACTTTTCCACCTTTGCCGCGACCAGACATGATCGAAAAATAATAAAATTAAAAAACTTACAGCGAACTGAACGAGGCGACGATTCGAAATCTATTAAGTCACCTCGCCCTGTGTCAAACAATTTATACGGAACGAATAACAATGCGATCCGACCAATCACTGCGCGCGCCGATTGTTCCTGCGCATTCATTGGTCGGCTCGCTCGGTTGCTCGCGCGTATATATAAACCGCACTATTCTGATCGCTCTCATTATTTTATCGACATTTATTGAGATAGTGTTTCGATTAATTTAGTATTTTTTTGATCATTGTTTTGCAATGCCGCCCAAAGCAACCGGAAAGGCCGTCAAAAAGGCCGGAAAGGCTCAGAAAAACATTTCCAAGGGAGACAAAAAGAAGAAAAGGAGGAGGAAGGAAAGTTATGCCATTTACATCTACAAAGTTCTCAAGCAAGTTCATCCCGACACTGGAATTTCGAGCAAAGCCATGAGCATCATGAACTCTTTCGTAAATGACATTTTCGAAAGAATCGCTGCTGAAGCTTCCAGATTATCTCACTACAACAAGAGATCGACCATCACTAGTCGGGAAATTCAAACGGCTGTTCGTCTCTTATTGCCGGGAGAATTGGCAAAACACGCCGTGAGTGAAGGAACCAAAGCTGTGACCAAATACACAAGTTCAAAATAAATTTTTTCTTTGACGACGACTATAACAAATTCAAACGATTCCAATCGGCCCTTTTCAGGGCCAACAATTTGTCAACACGTTCATATGGAAAAGCTCTTATTCATTCTTCTAGCTTAAATACATACTCGTACGAGAGGTAAGTAGTAGTAAATATTTTGCCATCTAAAAAACACTTGTAATCCCGTTTTGCTAATTTACTTTTCAATTTTTAAAAAAATTTAACATTAGTTTGTTTCGGAATTTTTTTTCTTTATCGTTATCTATTGGAGGTCAGTTCAATTTTTTTTTACTCTACCTGAACGATATCGATAGTGGATCAATAGGAAGGTGCGGGCATCGAAATTTTTTTTTGTAGCAACGCATTCTATTATGTGTAACAAGATTTTTTTCTTTTTTTATTTTTCGATCGGATAATTTCCATTCAAATTTGATGGAAAGGACACGCAAGTAGACCAGCAGGGAAAACGTTTTCACTTTCCAATAATTTTACCCCCTTTTCCGCATTTTTCTCGATAATTCGGACATTTACCCGAAACTAAACAACGGCAGGAAAAAAAGCAAGACTTTCAGGTTTTTCTGCTACTACTTTGCAACCTGGACTTTTGTTCGAATATTTCAATTTTCTTTCGCGAGCAAAATTCAAAATAGGGGATGAAGATGCTTTTGGTTTAGGATGTTTTTAATTAATTGAGTTAAACTTTATCATGTATGAACGTGTTTTCTGTTTTGTGGCCCTTAAAAGGGCCGTTTGATATAAGACATGTATTTCTTTCCTTTTTTACTTTTTCTTCGTTGGAGTCGCTTTTTTTGCGGTTTTGGCTTTTGCCGCCGCCGCCGCCTGAGTAACTTTCTTCGGTTTCGGAGCTTTGGGTTTTTTCGTCGGAGCTTTCTTCACCTTTTTCGTTTTTGACGGAGCTGCAGATTTTGCTGGTTTTTCTTTGGCCGGAGCTTTTTTCGGCACGCTGCTCGCGCTTTTTTTCACCGCCGTTTTCTTCGCCGGAGTCGTCTTGGCTTTCTTCGCTTTCGGTTCCGCAGATTTTGCTTTGGGTGCAGCTGCCTTGGCGGGTTGTTGTTTCTTTTTTGACGGAGCTTTTTCCGCCGAAGGAGGAAGTTTGAACGATCCGGACGCTCCTTTGCCCTTCGTTTGAACGAGCGATCCCGACGTCACTGCAGATTTCAAATACTTTCTGATGAACGGTGCCAATTTTTCCGCGTCCACCTTGTAATTTGCTCCGATGTACTTCTTGATGGCCTGGAGAGACGAACCTCCGCGTTCCTTTAAGTTTTTGATTGCTGCCGTCACCATGTCCGCCGTTTTTGGATGGCTGGGTTTGGCTTTGGCTTTTTTGGCGGCTCGCCGCCGCGGCCGCCGATCCGGAAGATTTTCCCTTGGCCGCCTTCTTCGGCGTTGATGCTGCAGGAGCTGGAGCGGTCGCAACTTCGGTTTCGGACATTTTTATTTTTTCTTTTTATTTATACGAAAAAAACGTGCGATCCGAAATACCAAATACTAATACCGATGATGAAATAATAATATGTAGATAAATAATAATAATTAAAATAAATTACAATTCAAACTCGAGAATTCGACGAAACGAGAGAGAACTGAAAATAACAAATGAACTTTGCTATCGGCTGCGAGATGACGCGGTTCGTACACGCGGACGCAATAGACGTCGATCGTCTCCGAGTCGAAAATGTGTGTTTTTACCTTAATCACTTGTTCGACGTTCTATTTCTAAATTCGAATTTTTCACCATTCGAATAATCGAATTTCGAGTTTTTTTTCTTTAAAACTCGTACTCGAATGTTTGGTTTTCCAACGAATGAAAAACGATTTTCCAAACCGTCCGGAAGTGGAAAATATAAGGGAATCTTTATTGACCTCAATGCGCAAAATTCGAGTTGCTTGTGTTCGACGACCAAATTTAGGGGAAAATAATTTTTTTTAAAGTTATTTTTTCCAATTTTACGTTCGATGAGGATGTAAACTATTATTTGAAATAAAAATATTTCCAAATTCAACGAGGAATGACTCCAAAACGACCCTGCAAACTTTGACTCTCCGAACAGTTTAGAGTCTCGAGTTCTATAGACGTTGACTCGACTGTTCAGGTTAGAAAATTTTAATTTATTAAAATTGTATGAAAATATTTTTTTTGGGAAACCGATTCATTTGACAACTAAATAATTTTCGAAGGTTCTATTTGAAAAAAAATTGAAATGAAAATTTCTATTAAAATAAGGAAAAGTAAAATAGTTTTTAAAAAATTTCTCTTCCGGCTAAGATTCGAGCTTTCTTATTCTCATTTTTCATCGTTTTTTTGTTTAAATTATATTCTGGCGTCTTAATGACGTGGGATTTTCTTTTTTTTTTCTTTTGCTTTATTTTGTTTCATATTTCGGGTGTTAATAAACGATAATTCATTTGAAAAAAAAAAATTAGGGAATATTTCGTAGAGTTTATTCTGAGTTATCGTCTCCAAATTATTGTGTTTTTGATTTTTATCGCAGATACAAAAAAAAGTTAAACTTTATGTAAACATTTTTCCATTGAGAAAAAACGCGTTCGTTCAATACGAATTCAAAACGAATTCAAAAAATAAAAAATTTACTTTTTTCGAACAATTTTTTTCCGTGTCTTTTATATATGTAGTACGGTAACCGTTTCTTTGGATTTCGTTAAAAACTTATTATTCGCATTTTATGTAACCTTTTTTAAAAGGCAGTTGATAATAAATTTTTTTTTCTCCAAAATCTATACTTTTTTGCTGTAGGTCAAAATTAAACGCCGAAAAATGTTTGAAATGACTGTATTTTAAAAAAATCATGCATTAAATCAGCAATGATCTAATGAATAAAAATGCACCTAAGGAATATACGTGATATTCTCGTGTACGTAGGTACGTACGAATAATGATAGAAAAAAAAAAAAAACAAAATAAACGAATTTCATCCATAGAAAAAAATGAGATTTCTAATTGCATACTAATAACGATATTTTTACATGGGATAAAATAAAAGTAAACATTCGTGAGGAGGCATTTAAAAAGGAACTTGCGGGAAAAGTTGCACTCCTGTGTATTTATACAAAATATTAGATATATCGAATATTAGTAATCTTAATTACGTATCATATATTACTATAATACTATAATACTATATTACTATAATGACTTTTGCATTATATAAAAGTAGTAATATTTAAAATTGTGTACAATTTAAACTCTGTACTTTCTTTAATGAACTTAATAAATTGGAGAAAAACTTTTGATGAAATTTATTTTAAAGTGGATAACCATTAAAAAATTATTGTGGAAGTTATTATAAAAACCCGTCACCCTTGAAAGAAATTGATTTATTCAAATTCATCCCCGAAAAAAATTATAAGCAGTTGTAGATGAGAAATATTTAGCAGTTCTTATTCCGCAGTTTTGCGGGAAAACCATGTTATACGTATTTCGATTTACGGAATTCATTCAATTAAAGAATTTTGAGCAACTTCAGTATCGTACGTGTCGTGTTTTTTGGCCCTGAAAAGGGCCGTTTTGATTAAATTGACTTGCGAGAGAATAAAAAAGCAAATTAACCTCCGAAACCGTAGAGGGTTCTGCCTTGTCGTTTCAATGCGTACACGACATCCATGGCGGTTACGGTTTTTCTCTTGGCGTGCTCGGTATAAGTGACAGCGTCACGAATCACGTTTTCCAAAAATACTTTAAGCACTCCTCGAGTTTCCTCGTATATCAAACCCGATATACGTTTCACTCCCCCACGACGAGCCAACCGACGAATGGCGGGTTTAGTGATACCCTGAATGTTGTCTCTCAAAACTTTACGATGACGTTTAGCGCCACCTTTTCCCAAACCCTTGCCTCCTTTACCTCTGCCAGTCATGTTTGCAAAGCTATCAAATGGATAAGTAAACTAACGCACGAACAGCTACTGAACTCAGAAGCAAGTGATGACGACACGAGAATCACCCGTCTATTTAAATACAATCGCGTTCACGAAAAAATCCTGCGTCCAATGAGAAGGGGAACGGAGAACGATGTGGCCAATGAGAAGCGAGGAGCTCGCGTTCGCCGGACTATAAATTAACAGACTCGTCGAATCGAGCATTCATATTAATTTTGGACTTGGCTGATTCTTGTGTTTTTTTGTTTTCTCGTTTTTTATTATCGTTACAAGATGGCTCGTACCAAGCAAACGGCGCGTAAGTCGACGGGAGGTAAGGCTCCTCGTAAGCAACTGGCGACCAAAGCCGCCAGGAAAAGTGCTCCGGCCACGGGAGGAGTCAAAAAGCCTCACCGTTACCGTCCGGGAACCGTAGCTCTTCGTGAGATCAGACGTTACCAGAAGAGCACGGAATTGCTCATAAGAAAATTACCGTTTCAGCGTCTCGTGAGAGAAATCGCTCAGGATTTCAAGACCGATCTTAGATTTCAGAGTTCGGCCGTGATGGCTTTGCAGGAGGCGAGCGAGGCTTATCTGGTCGGATTATTCGAAGACACAAACTTGTGCGCCATTCACGCCAAGCGTGTCACCATAATGCCCAAAGACATTCAACTCGCTCGGAGAATCAGAGGAGAGAGAGCTTGAAGAGTTTTTGGTTTTTCATTCGTTACGAAAAACGGCCCTTTTCAGGGCCAAAATATTTTTCGCGTTTTACGTGTGGCTGAATACTCGATCATGTCTTTATTTTCCCTTATCGAGGTTTTGTTTCCCCTCTTAAAAGTATTTTTCAAGTTAGTAACCGATTATGGAAAACAATATGTTACAGCAAATTCCTATTTAGTAAAAACGTTTTGAATAATTACTTTCATCGACGTTATTAAAACAGTAAAAAAAGTAATTCAAATTGTAAGAAAATGTAATTAAAATAATGCTTAATTTAATGAAATACTAAAAGTTATGAAGTTTTTAATATAGAATTACTGTGCAGATTAGGCCAAAATTTATAGGCAGATAATTTTAAATAATTTGGCCAATTGAAAAAAATGTAAGAAAAATTTCAAAAATATTTATGATTCCAGGAGTAGTTATGTAAATTAAAATTTTAATTTATTGTTCTTATTCTTTTCATTTGGTTACAATTGTTTTAATTAATTTATTTTTAATTGAAATCAAAATGATTTTCCCAAATTTTTAAAAAAGGCAGAGATTACCTCTGCGATTTCCTTAAACATTTTACTCTATAAAACTGAAATTATTAAAAACGTTTTTACTGAATAAGAATTTGCCGTAACATTTTGACCAGCGATTGCGAGCTCCTCGCTTCTCATTGGCCACATCGTTCTCCGTTCCCCTTCTCATTGGACGCAGGATTTTTTTCGTGAACTCGATCGTATTTAAATAGACGGGTGATTCTCGTGTCGTCATTATTAACTTCGTACTATTCAATTGCTTTACGTGCGTTATTTTACTTATCCATTTGACAGTTTTTGCAATTATGACTGGCAGAGGTAAAGGAGGCAAGGGTTTGGGAAAAGGTGGCGCTAAACGTCATCGTAAAGTTTTGAGAGACAACATTCAGGGTATCACTAAACCCGCCATTCGTCGGTTGGCTCGTCGTGGGGGAGTGAAACGTATATCGGGTTTGATATACGAAGAAACTCGAGGAGTGCTTAAAGTATTTTTGGAAAACGTGATTCGTGACGCTGTCACTTATACCGAGCACGCCAAGAGAAAAACCGTAACCGCCATGGATGTCGTGTACGCATTAAAACGACAAGGCAGAACCCTCTACGGTTTCGGAGGTTAATTTGCTTTTTTATTCTCTCGCAAGTCAATTTAATCAAAACGGCCCTTTTCAGGGCCAAAAAAACACGACACGTACGATACTGAAGTTGCTCACAATCCTTTAATTGAATAAATTTCGTAAATCGAAATGCGTATAACAATGTATTGAATGTCCGTCTCTGCATGCTTTTCCCCCAAAATTGCGATGACACCTTCTGCTAGGTATTTCTCACATCTACAACTGCTTATAATTTTTTTCGGGGATGAATTTGAATAAATCAATTTCCGTCAAGGGTGACGGGTGTTTTTAATAACTACCACAATAATTTTAGAAATTTTTTACTGGTTATCCAAATTTAAAATAAATTTCATCAAATGTTTTGCACTCATTTATTAAGTTCATTAAAGAAAGTACCGAGTTTAAAAATTAAATTGTACACAATTTTAAATATTACTACTTATTAATTAAGGGATGTAAAACTTATTGATTTTACTTTATGTGTTTAACTAAGATTTAGTATTATTACACAGGAATGCAACTTTATTATATTTTTCTCGCAAGTTCCTTTTTTGTTCCCCGCTTCGCGAATGTTTACTTTTATTTTATCCCATGTAAAAATAGTATTATTAATATGCAATTAGAAATTCCTTTATTTTCTTTTATTTTTATTTTTCTATCGAATGTCGTACACACCAATGTAAACGCGAATATCACGTATATTCCTTAGGCGCATTTTTATTCATTAGATGATTGCTGATCTAATGCATGATTTTTTTAAAATACGGTCATTTCAAACATTTTTCGGCGTTTAATATTGACGTACGGAAAAAATGCAGTCGTTTCTAACATTTTCCGACGTTTAATTTTGATCTACAGCAAAAAAGTATAGATTTTCGAGAAAAAAAAAATTTATTATCAATTACCTTTTAAATGGTTACGCATAACGCGAATGATAAGTTTTTTCACGAAAGAAATCGTTTAAAAAAAATAAAAATTTTTTATTTTTTGAATTCGTTTTGAATTCGTATTGAACGAACGCGTTTTTTCTCAATGGAAAAATGTTTAGATAAAGTTTGGTTTTTTTTTGTATCTGCGATAAAAATCAAAAACACAATAATTTGGAGACGATAACTCAGAATAAACTCTACGAAATATTCCCTAATTTTTTTTTTTTCAAATGAATTATCGTTTATTAACACCCGAAATATGAAACAAAATAAAGCAAAAGAAAAAAAAAGAAAATCCCACGTCATTAAGACGCCAGAATATAATTTAAACAAAAAAACGATGAAAAATGAGAATAAGAAAGCTCGAATCTTAGCCGGAAGAGAAATTTTTTAAAAACTATTTTACTTTTCCTTATTTTAATAGAAATTTTTTTTTTTTTTTTTTCAAATAGAACCTTCGAAAATTATTCAGTTGTCAAATGAATCGGTTTCCCAAAAAAATATTTTCATACAATTTTAATAAATTAAAATTTTCTAACCTAAACAGTCGAGTCAACGTCTATAGAACTTGAGACTCTAAACTGTTCGGAGAGTCAAAGTTTGCCAGGTCGTTTTGGAGTCATTCCTCGTTCGATTTGAAAATATTTTCATTTCAAATAATAGTTTACATCCTCATCGAACGTAAAATTGGAAAAAATTACCTAAGAAAAAATTATTTTCCCCTAAATTTGGTCGTGGAACACAAGCAACTCGAATTTTGCGCATTGAGGTCAATAAAGATTCCCTTATATTTTCCACTTCCGGACGGTTTGGAAAATCGTTTTTCGTTCGGTTGGAAAACCAAACATTCGAGTACGAGTTTTAAAGAAAAAAAACTCGGGATTCGATTATTCGAATAGTGAAAAATTCGAATTTAGAAATAGAACGTCGAACAAGTGATTAAGGTAAAAACACACATTTTCGACTCGGAGACGATCGACGTCTATTGCGTCCGCGTGTACGAACCGCGTCATATCGCAGTCGATAGTAAAGTTCATTTGTTATTTTCAGTTCTCTCTCGTTTCGTCGAATTCTCGAGTTTGAATTGTAATTTATTTTAATTATTATTATTTATCTATATATTATTATTTCATCATCGGTATTAGTATTTAGTATTTCGGATCGCACGTTTTTTTCGTATAAATAAAAAGAAAAAATAAAAATGTCCGAAACCGAAGTTGCGACCGCTCCAGCTCCTGCAGCATCAACGCCGAAGAGGCGGCCAAGGGAAAATCTTCCGGGTCGGCGGCCGCGGCGGGAGCCGCCAAAAAAGCCAAAGCCAAACCAAGTCATCCAAAAACGGCGGACATGGTGACGGCAGCAATCAAAAACTTAAAGGAACGCGGAGGTTCGTCTCTCCAGGCCATCAAAAAGTACATCGGAGCAAATTATAAGGTGGACGCGGAAAAATTGGCACCGTTCATCAGAAAGTATTTGAAATCCGCAGTGACGTCGGGATCGCTCGTTCAAACGAAGGGCAAAGGAGCGTCCGGATCATTCAAACTTCCTCCTTCGGCGGAAAAAGCTCCGTCGAAAAAGAAGCCACAACCCGCCAAGGCAGCTGCACCCAAAGCAAAATCCGCGGAACCGAAAACGAAAAAAGCCAAACCGACTCCGGCGAAGAAAACGGCGGTGAAAAAAAGCGCGAGCAGCGTGCCGAAAAAAGCTCCGGCCAAAGAAAAACCAGCAAAATCCGCAGCTCCGTCGAAAACGAAAAAGGTGAAGAAAGCTCCGACGAAAAAACCCAAAGCTCCGAAACCGAAGAAAGTCACTCAGGCTGCGGCGGCGGCGAAAGCCAAAACCGCTAAAAAAGCGACTCCAACGAAGAAAAAGTAAAAAAGGAAAGAAATTCATGTCTTATATCAAACGGCCCTTTTAAGGGCCACAAAACAGAAAACACGTTCATACAAGATAAAGCTTAGCTCGGTTAATAAAACACATCCTAAAACAAAAGTGTCATCATCATCATCTTAATCCCTTTTATTGTATTTTGGTCGCAAAAGAAAATTTAGGGAATCGGACCTGCTGATCTACTTGCGTGTCTCTTCCATCAAATTCAAATGAAAATTATCTGATCGGAAAATCTTGTTATACGTAACAAAAGCTTCATATGCGTTGTTCCAAAAATAAAAAAAAAAATTTTTATCGAAGTTCGACGCCCGCAGCTTTTATCGATTTACAATCGATATCGTTCAGGTAGAATAAAAAAAAAAATAGTCTCCAATAGATGATGAGAAGGAAAAAAATTCCGAGACACTTATCGTCATTTAATTTTACAAAAAATCAGGGAAACAGGACTGCTAGTGTTTTTTAGATGGCAAAATATTTATTACTACTTACTTCTACTATGTATTTATGATAGAAAAATTAACAAGAGCTTTTTCATATGAACGTGTTGACAAATTGTTGGCCCTGAAAAGGGCCGATTGGAATCGTTTGAATTTGTTGTAGTCGTCGTCAAAGAAAAAATTTATTTTGAACTTGTGTATTTGGTCACAGCTTTGGTTCCTTCGCTCACAGCGTGTTTTGCCAATTCTCCCGGCAACAAGAGACGAACAGCCGTTTGAATTTCCCGACTTGTGATGGTCGATCTTTTGTTGTAGTGAGATAATCTGGAAGCTTCAGCAGCGATTCTTTCGAATATGTCGTTTACGAAAGAGTTCATGATGCTCATGGCTTTGCTCGAAATCCCAGTGTCGGGATGAACTTGCTTGAGAACTTTGTAGATGTAAATGGCATAACTTTCCTTCCTCCTCCTTTTCTTCTTTTTGTCTCCCTTAGAGATGTTTTTCTGAGCCTTTCCGGCCTTTTTGACGGCTTTTCCGGTTGCTTTGGGCGGCATTGCAAAACAATGGTCAAAAAAATACTAAAATAATCGAAACACTATCTCAACGAATGTCGATAAAATAATGAGAGCGATCAGAATAGTGCGGTTTATATATACGCGCGAGCAACCGAGCGAGCCGACCAATGAATGCGCAGAACGATCGACCCGCGTTTTATTTTGGTTTAGTGTTGTTGGTCTTAATACATATATTAAAAA